ATTTGTTTTCAATCTTACAGATCCGTTTGAAATAAACAAAGTTTTAACATACCTTATCCCGACCAGAGACTTCAACCATCAGATATTGGTAATCATTGACTGTAGCACACTTAGCTGTCCTCTGGACTACCCCGTCTATTTTCATGTAGATCTTCTTGCACGCCCAAGTGTTCCTCCCAGCGTTTCTTATCTTCAAGCCAGTATATACACCAATGTCAGCATCGTCTTCTATTATATTAGAGCAAGTGATGTTAGCACCTCGACCACGGTTGGCTGTACAAGGAAACTCTCGTGTGCGCCCTAAAGTTCCTATAATTGTGAAGAAGTAGCCGTTTCGACCTCCGTCACCATTAAGTGTATCTTTTGTCAGTTGGGTGATCTCGTAAGTGACTGCGGCGAGAGTTTAGTTCAGAAAGTGGTATGTGAAGTTTAAACAACAGCCAATGTTTAATGTTTATAAATTGACAACTCTAAAATTAATTTAAGGCAAAAATATCTAAGTAAAAAAGTCTTGTTAAAGAACGTGAATAGAAGTGGTGGTAACTTTTAATTTTCTTAAAAGATAGAAAATACCTGAACCAAGTGACTCCGCACAGTAAAGAATCAACAAGATGCTATGAAAGCAAAACAGTTTCATCTCAAACAGTCAAAACCTAGTAAATGAATTTAAAATGTTTTCAAAATCAGCTGAGGGAGCAATTGAAACTCGTTCCACCCTAAGCGGCTCAGTAAAGTTGTAAAACAAAGATGTTATTCTCCAGATTAAAACAGATGGCTTACAATAGAATTGTCAGGTGCAAAAATCATCCTGCGCAGTGGGTCTCAGTCTAATTGTCTTGTTATAATTTAGATTACTAAAAGTTTAGAAATTACCATACAAGAGACCTACCCTGGTACATAACGACAAGGTTTGTTTGTTCACCGCTGTTGTTTTCAGCCACCAAACTACAAGATGAAATCGACCAACTGAAGGACGAAAAGATTGCAGATCAGAACACTGTGATTAAACTGCAAGGACAATTGCTTGAGAAGAAAAGTGAAGATTTGACCTCTGTTCAGACGACAGTGAAAAGCGAACTCAAAGCCTGGTCGTCAGTTGTGAAGAATTCATGCAGCAAGGCGCTAGCGCCTAAGAAAATGAAAGCTGCTCTGAAACGTGCCTCCGAGGAAGAGGATCGTAGTCAAAATCTGGTCATCTACGGTCTACCAGAAAAGAGTGAAGAAATCCTGGAAAAGAGAGTGCTTGAGGTACTAGAAAACATAGATGAGAAACCTCGAATCGTTTCTTGCTGTAGGATGGGGAGAACTGTATCAGATGGAGGACCAGCCGTTAAACCTATCAAGTTCACTCTCAGCGGCTCAGATCATGTGCGGCAAGTGTTGAGCAAAGCGAGAAAACTAAGAGAAGTGGAGGGGTATGACTCAGTGTACATCAGCCCCGACCGATCAGCCGAGCAGAGAGCTGCCTTCAGGAAGTTAGTTCTTGAAGTTAAGCAGAAACGGGAATTGGAGCCTCAGCGAGTTCATGTTATAAGGAACAATAAGATCGTAAGCTCCGAGAAGGACTGATGGGATATGATTTTTTATCAACATATTATTTGATTGATTTTCATTTACCAGGGACTAGGCTTGTGCGGTGTGGTTTCGACTACAATTTTACTGCGTTCTGGTTTCCCTTTGAAATTTACATACATCTGTCCTTTAGAGATCGCAATCAGTTATATTTTGTTTTTATTTTGCGCCACATGTTATATTGTATGTAAATTTTGAAAAGATTTTCATAAAAAAAAACTATTATATATCATATAATTATAAGAACAGACTGTTTCTTGGGGCAACCACTGCGTTCACCGGTCCATTCGCTGGTTTGGAGAATAACTACGAACTAGATGTCAGATCATTCGCTAATACAGAACACGTGATAGTCGAGGAGTACCTGGTAAGAATTTTATTAGTTGGTGACCAGATCAATTACGTTCGAATCTGCAAAGGCCACACCCCTGCAGAAAAGTTTAATTTGGGTCCCAGTATCATTTTAAGTCTAGTATTATTTCAAAACTATAAAATTAGTAAAATAGTAAAAAATTGTTTGTAGAATCAGATTCTCAATCCCAAAACATGTCTATTGTCTTTATAAGTAAGATATTGAAAAACTTTCTGTATGATTAATACCTTATCTCTCTTCCCCAGACCCTGGATGTTTTTTAATTTTATTAATGTCAGTTTTCAACTTCCTTCATTCATCCGTCAACTGTTACTTTCCAAATAAAGTCCAGAGAAGCTAATAAACCTTCTAAAATAAATCGAGTGTTGGCCCATAATCAATGAGATATCAATAAAGGCAAGTTCTAATCACAGAGATCTGAAGATGACAAATATGTTCTGATATCTGAGGTAAGAACAGTGGTGTTGTATCATCAATTATTAATTCCTGATCTCACTTCCTGACTATTGCCACACCTTTAGGTTATATAATGACGAAACTGTATAATGACGAAGGTTTTATACCTTGATTGTGGATGCAGTGAACAATATTTGGCACTGCATTTGCTATAATATGGTCAACATGAATGATGGAAAATGTTTTTCTTCGTTATCAATGTAAAATTACTTTACGTTAAAAATTACTTAACGTTATATTAATTCACTTTTTTAATTAATTTAATAAAGTTACCTATTGGCAGAGGCGTGGGAGGCGTTGCAATCTGAGCCCAAGTCTCCACAATCAGTATACTTTGTCCATTTGTAACTGTCACAAACTTGATTAGTCTCCCGACCTCTCCACCGCAACTTACTTCATACGTTTGGTCTTCTACTGCTAAACTCTGTGTTTGAACCTCTGGTATATCACACTGATGGACTTGGTCGTATTGATCCCCGAGTATGTAAATGGTGGTGTACGCCATCGATCTTATTGATTCCTTGATGCTTTCTTCGTTAAAGGCTGTGCTTTTGTACATAGTGTCGGTGTTAGCCAGGATGAAAACGATATAGTTGAAGATGAATATGTCTCCGTAGTCAACAATCAGGTACTGAAAATGCTTTCCATACTCTGTTCCCACCGCTGAAAATACAAATTTAAACTTCTCAAATCTTCAATCAAAACAAAATGCTTTCAAAGCACCACAATCACGGTCGTAACGATTTATTTTTCATATCAATAAAAAAAGTTGAAGCATCATTTATCAACTGCCATACTAACCATTTGTTTGCGCCCAATAAGGCGAATTTAGCTTTCCATCGAAACAGTATTTAGAGATGTATTTGATTCCTTCGTCTGTCTCAGCTGTAGAAGTAAGCTCTGCTCCCCACGGACTTACTCCATGATCTGATATTTTACTTGATTATAATCTAGTAAAATAATCGGTTATCTTAAATGACTATTCACATTGCGGTATGCAAAGTTTTTGTTAAATTAAAGCATCACTGAACATATTATCACATTTAGTATTCTAGGGATTTTTTTTAGTTGCAAATCCCCCCCCCCCCCCCCCCTAAACGTCACGTACGGTACTAAGTGTATGATCCCCCCTCCCCCCCCCCCCCCCTTCCTATTCTACAGTACCTGGGAATATTATCTCCACTTGTGCCCAAGTATCGACGACAAGTATTGCTCTCTTTAACGGTGAATCTTTATTCGTCTCAAACATCACTTTCCTCCCCTCTGCGGAGTGACAATCAATCGCATAGATCTGATCTTCCATTTTCCCAAATCTGCTACTATCTGTTTGTAGATTATCACAGTAGTGAACCGTGTTACCATCTTTATCCAGGAGTGATATCTCAACTCCGTCCATATAGCTTACCATGTACGACTCCATATACTGGTATGAGTCCAGACTTAGCAGGATTATATTTATTTGTGTGAACTTATAAGTTCTACCGTAGTCCATTACCAGGAATTGAGGCACTGTTTCTGTAGCTCCTGAAAGTGATAAGAGTTATAAAGCCCTCAATTACAAACACACATTTTGATTTAGTTGCACTGACGGCAGCCCCCCCCCCCCCCCCCACTGACGGTACTTACTGAGTGTTTCTGACCAGTAAGGATGAGATATCCTTTTATTGCAGCAGTATTCAGCTTTGTGGGTGTAACCGTTCTCTACAAATGTGGTGCTCTGTTCGGCTGCAACTACTCTTCTCACTAAAAGAGAAATCTACATGATGTCTTGATCTTTAAACTATTTCGGAGATAGGCGAACAAACAATTTAAGCTCCAAACACATTCAAAGTACCTACATGTTCCATGCTAACGTTTGATTAGATAGTAATGAAATATATCCATTATTTCATCCTAAGCTTTCTTACCTGCAGAAAAGGTTAAGCTTTCCACTTGATAGCCAACAAACTGCAACAATATTAAAAACCGAGTCATAGTGCCCAAACTCTTCAAGAACAACACATAACAAAGCCGTTATATTTGCATAACTCTTAAAGTGAGCTGACGTCTTCCCTTGCTGATGAAGTAACGAGTCGGCTGTTATTCCACGAAACTATTGAATATATTGCTGACACATACAACCTGTTTAGCGTTGCAGGTGTCTTTCTTTTAGGCAGTAAATCAACAAAACTGCCCAATTTGAACGGACCATCTAGCGTTTAATTGGACATGGTAAATGTAAGGATTGGTTGGGTGCACTTCTAGTCTAGTTATTACAAGATGTACGTGATGTAAGGATTTATTAGATTTATTAGATTGTATAGAATAACTCCTCTAATGGGGTATGTGTCTGGGTACTCTGAAAGACCAGTCCGAAGATGCTTATTATACAACAAGTGGCAGCCTAGCAGTTGCAAGAGCATTGGGTCATGGCAATTTCAATTCGAATATATTGTACTCATTGATCTTCTTGGAGAAGACTCAAGCCTCTTGGAATAGACAAAGTTTAGATGTCACTCGACTTCGACTGAGAAGATATTTTTAATTTACTTGAAACCGTTTCATTGTAATCCCAATACAATGAATATAATAACCGTCCCTCTAAAACTCCACATTTCAGGCTCTAAAGGACGATGTAGCAGTACACAAGGAGATACTGAGATTACTGGACAAGATGTTACTGACCGCCCCTAAAACAGCTTGTCAGTTAGGTTTCCTCGCTCGGTGGCTGGTTTGTGTGGTGAACCTGACAGTTAGCAAACTTCAAGTGGTTAGTTTGCTGCTACAATCCTCTGGATTACCATGTAGTTATTATTGAATTTGAAATAACACACCACAATGTCAACATTATCGCTGGAGCAGTAAATCCACCGTTGGTAATTCAATGGATTGACGCTAAACTATGTACAATTTCGTCGAGTTGTTTTGCATTATCGCCCATAGCAACCAAATTCTTTGGTGATTTGCGAAATTAAGATGTTTTGATGCTAACATTGGTGGGTTGAGGTCAGGTTGTAGCTCTCTAGTAGGTTCAGTGTTTAAAAGTCCCCAAGAAAGAGGCTTACAAAACATGCTAAAATCACAATAAACTGGCCCTTATACCCTCCACTATCTGCAATATCTCCAACAGATCCGAGACAAGGCAGGGGGGTTGTTAGAGAAACACATGGCAGTTCTGTTAACTTGTGAGACTGATAATGAAGTTAACAGAATCATCGCTCAGAAGCTGTTCAATCTTTCCACTTTACCCAACACCGCCAAACCGGTTTGTAACTCTAGTTCAACTCTCTTATCGTATCTCTTATCTTATCTTATGACTTATCTTATCTGATATTTTACATCATCTATACAATCTGCCTATTACATGTGCGTAATCAAGCCTCTCATTCCATTTTTAACTTATTTTCCATTATACAGATTGATCCAATAAAGTTAAGCTAAAATAACGCATTATATTAGCTTAACTTTATTCGATAAATTTGTTGTTACAACTTTACAAGTCAAGAGTCTGCAACTTACTTTTTAACTGTTAATATTTTCAATATAGCTTATTTAGTCTGCAAGGTGGTCCGCATGTTACCTAAGTTATTTCAACCGTTATTTATTAAAATATGTAATAAAAACATCCTAACAGACAAGTCCGTTGCTACAAGAACTGCAGCAGTTAGCTAACACTGGACACAGTGTCTATGTTATGAGGGTGTGGGTCTGTCTCGTTCATATGACCAGCAAGGTTTGTTGTTTTATTTCGTGCCAACTATATTATAGCTTTATGGGCTTTGTCATATGAACGAAGTGAACGGGATTCATTTCATTCCAACTGCCAACGTTAAGAAATTAAAAATTGTCGCTCCAAATAAAACAGGGTGGAAACTTTTGTCCAAATAAACCGTGTTTTAGTTGTACAATGTACAGATGGACTGCGTTATACAGAGGCGCGTTATAGGCGGAATACTGTACTGTATTATGCCATAATGTGAGAGGTTGAATTAATGCAAACCAGTTGAAAAATGAGAACAACGCCTCCCTCCTCTACTTATAACAGATGATTGTCAAACTAATTGGTAGTCATGGAAATATATTTAAGGTACTTAAGCCGAGATAATTTAGAACGCAGTAACTATTCTGGCCTTGATGATCGTTGAGAAATAAAATCTAAAAAATAATTTCTTATTAAAGTTAAATTTATTAGTCCCAGATGCAGTCAAAATTTCAGTCAAATCACCAACACCTGCTATAAAAACATCAATGATTTATGATCTACCGCAACATTTAAAGATGTAATCTCAGACAATATATAATTATCATACAATTGTGCTATTCATCCTATAACAAGGGTAACACGGCCGAAATACAGTTTTTTCGCCATTGAACCCCCCCCCCCCCCCCCCCCCCCCCCAACATTCTAAGGGCTCTTGAAATTACATTGAATAGTAATTGATCTATTGGATAGATTAGGATAAAACATAATTTTCTGATAATTCATGTCACCCCAGTCGATTCTGAAGAAATCAGCGTATCTGAACGAGATGTTTTCAGTCCCTGACCTCTTTACAAAGCACCTAACCGACAACAACAGCAGAATAGCTCTATTTGGCAGCTGGATACAAGTTATTGATATCTACAGGTGCTACACTCATTATCAACTAATTGCTTTTTGTCTTACTTTCTCTATCAAATAGATACATTTACTGCATTGTTCCTATGATCTAGGCTAATTGATCAAGATAAAGATCAAAGGAGAAAGTCTAGGCAGGCAAAAGTTGAGCTAAAAATGTTATCTATACAATCATTGTCTCTCCAGGTCGAATATTCCAGAATTCTTTGCCAATTCCAAGCACATGAAGTTCTTCATGACCCCCTTCTTCACTATCAAGGAACCCTCTCTAGAGGTCTCCCTGGCTTTAGTAAAGTCCTGGTGGTACTTGGTAGTTGCTTGTCACAGACTCAATTACATGAACAATTTCTCTGCGGTAAGTTCTGAGTTCATACATTTTAAGAGCAAACTCTCTTTACTCCTGAATAATATAAGATAATATGAGACATATCTCTTACTTCTTATTATTCCGATAATTTCCTCTGAGCTTGTAACAACCCATTTCCCTTCCCAGGTTTTAGAGCCGTGTATAAAGACCTGTTTTAAGCACCAAGAAGCAGGAGCCCTGGTGCAGCGCGGTGCTGATATCCTATATCTCCTCCTAGACTGCACTCCTCCCGAGTGCGATCTGGCTACCATCGCTCCTTCCTCTCTCAACTTGTCAGATTCCATTCATTGTACCACATTCCTCAAATACTACGAGATGTTAATCAGGTTACACTACTTACTAATTAACTCAGTTTGGCTTGTTTTGTTATGTATGAATTATTTAATACCTAATTGTTTTCCTAACTGTTGCTGATTGTTGTCGAAATCTGCAAAATCAAGTACTGTACACGTGAAATCACACTGCTATAATATAACATGGTCGCATTTAAAAGCTATTTTAACTAGTAACTTAAGACTCTGGTATTAATTAAGTTATTAACATGTGTAACATTTATAAGATATAAACCGAACTGTAAAGGGCTAGTTATGCCAATATGGAGTAGGCTGTGTGACTGCACTAAAGGTACCCCTGAAGCTAGAAGTATGATCTCTATTCTCCAAACTGCTGCTAACTCCCTCAATTCTATCAATGTTCTGGTACGTTCCAATCCCGCTGATAAAAGTGATGCTCTCACATTTTGCTACTCACAACACATTTTCCGCATCAGTGGAAAGTGTCAACTGAATAACTGAACTTTTCTATTTCGCATTTGTGTCTGATTTTCTTATTTACTGAAAATAATGAAGTTTGTTGCTAAAGTTTCACTAACTTTACTAACGTTACTAACTAAGGTTACTATGGTTACTAACTAACGTTACTAACGTTACTAACTTTACCCAACAGAGTATGATAGAGTCTCTGTGTCACAGTCAGATAGTATCCACCCAGCACAAAGCACAACTAGCACAGCAGGTGCTACAATCTGCTAGCAAGGATGATAAGCTACTATCTGTCCATCTCGCTAAGTTACTGAAATCTGTTCCCTTTGAAGACAACCAATACTTGAAATTCCTGAGTGACGTACTGGACATGATATCTGATACAGGGTAAGTAGTAAGTATAATGCTATAAGGAGGAAACAAGGAAAAACTTCAACCGTACCGTCAAACTGATTTTCAAATTGAAATCATCATCAAATCTTTTTAGACACTAATATGGTGAGACTCACTAACGATCTATTTGAGTTGTTGTTATATAAAACTCTTAACTCCAGAGATAAAAAAGAGTTACGAGTGCAGAGCAAGTTAGCAGTATGGGAGAATGTGAGTGCAGCACTCGCAGAGTACACCGAACAAACAGGAGGACAGCTGAATGAGGGAACTAGGATTAAACCGGAGTTCACCACAACCCACACTACTGTTATCATCCTGTTTAAACTGCTCCACAAGTCTCATCAGATATCACAGGTTAGACTTCTTTCTATCTTATTATTTAGATAAATGTATATTATTCTTAGTAAAGAAACGTGAAATCGCGGTTTGTAGTTTTAACTCTGGTTTGACTGTCTGTTTAAATCAATTCATATGATTGGAAACATTTCCACAGCTTGAGATGGATACTAAAAAGATTGTTATAAAAATCCCTATCTTACAGTTTAAGCCATTAGCAGTTGTCATGGTTATAAATTTATTTTAGATTTATCCAGGGTCATTGCTTCGAATATCGACCCCCGACGAAGATGCCAATTATTTAATATTTAGTTATTAAAATTCTGAGGAAGAAAGTAGCTGTAGCCATTGGCGATTAATATATTAACTGAGCTTTACGAATAATAATAAATTTCGTTATCAGACTAGTAAGGGTAAAACTTCACGCTTTCGCTAGTTAAGGATTCTAAATAATATATCAAACCCATTTATTAGAGTCCATCTACAAGCGTCAACATAATTTTCACACGCATTAATTTACAATTATTGTTTTATTTATATTGTTGTCTTAATTTTCTAACAATCTAACTCCGTATGCACACTTCATCAACACCCCTTAAGTCTAAAATCAAATCTACAGCCTTTCTCCTTAATACGTTATTCTTATCTAATCCCCTATACTAACATTACTATTAAAATATTTTGTGGATGCGCAAAATAACTGTTGACTTGAACACAATTAAAATAATATCCCTTTCAGGCTCACTCTTAATAACCTCTTTAATAAAACTTATCTCCTTAAATAAATTAACGGAACCATACACAATTAGTGTACTGTCAAATACGTCCTTTGTCGGAAAAAATTCGCAACAAAGCGATTTTAACGGGAAATGGTCGGGACAGGTCACAGGAATTATTCCAGAGAGTTCCCAAAATTTCTGACTTTAGGAAAATCCACAATTACCACTTTTTTACCACCTTTTTACCACTTTGGTTTTCCGCAAATAAGTCACGTTCTGAATATCCTAGAAGATTCTAATTTAAAGCAGTGTGTTTAGAAAACAAAGAAGAACAACTTTTTCAAAAATAAATTATTTCATTAATTAATTAAATAATTAGTAAATTTCAAATATTTCAAAAAAATATTTTGATGCAAAATGTTCACAATTACATGACACGTATATAATGAACTAATTTTTATAAAACTTTTGAAAATTTTCACTTTCAATATTTTGGACTTAACGAAATTTGTAAATAATAACCACTTTTTACCACATTGAATCTCCGCTAATAAAACGACTTCTGAATGTCGTAGAAGGTTCTAGATTGAACCAATGTGTTCAAAACATAAAAGAGAACAAATTTTTATGTGACAACCTTTGGATTAGATAATTAATTGATTAGTTAATCAATTATTTAACAAATATTCAAAAATTATAAAAATTATTTTTGATCAAAATATTTTAAAATTACATAACACGAATAATTAACAACTTTTCATTAAATTAATCGGGAAATCGAATCAGTACTTTATATTATATATAACCATATTATATACTAGATAAAAAGTCTTACTTATGAGTCCTCAGCTGGCACATTGGTGCAATTGTCCTGACATTTGAGGCAGGTTGATCCACAATATATTCCTGCTTTTCTGCTTGAACAAGCATTTCCACAACCTGACTTTAAACAGTTGCAACTGATGTTTTGAAGAAGCTTTTTCGGAGCTGTACTAAGAGTGGTCACTGGTACATGCGCCCAATTGTTCATCTTCCATCTGGGCATATTTCAAAACTATAGAATGTTACGGTGTGACAATTTTACCCATTTTTTCCGAAAAATGTCCAAGAAAACAGGTTCATTATTGGTTAAATTATGTTTCTAAGGCTTTTCAAACCTAGGATTTGCACATCTGCCAAAGAAAATAGTGAGAAATCAATCCGTTTTTGAGTAATTAAAAGTCGAAATTTCGTTACAGAGTGACTAGATAAATTTTCAGATTTTGGTACACCCATATTCTGACCTAATTTTTATCTCAGATATTCTTGAAAGTTGCATTTTGACGGCTTCCAGGCACTTTTCAGACATTTTCCTTCAATAATTAATCAAGAAAAAGTGTGTATTGCCGAATTTTTCATCATTTTTCATCCTGTTCCTGGCTCTAAATAGTAGAATTCTTTTCAAAATTAGATAGATAACACTTAAACAAGGTAGACCACAAATTTATTGATGTGAAATAAATCAAATCTGGTACAATTCATTAGTCTTGATCACAATTATGAATAAAAATACGATCATGTGATAAAAAATCAACCCTGGAGCTTAGCAAGATGGTGTACTAATTACTATAGTTAATAGTACAGGCTATAGTTAATAGCCCAGTCTATAGTTAATAGACTTCAATGTGTGTGTTTGATATATACTAAGATGGTGTACTATAGTTAATAGTACACTTGAAATAGCGTAAAGATGTGATTAGGTCATGCTGCAACTTATCCAAAAATACGTGATCTTTCCTTGTGTTTCGGCTCATATCTCAATAGCCCCAGGCACCATGCTCCAGGTAGAGCGTAATTTGGTGATTACATAATTACAAGGTTGGTCGTATCATAGAGTGCACCTAATTAAAGCTAGCGCCTAGGTAAATACATGATAATGTTATCCGATCCCATATTCCCAGACATTTAAATTGAACTTTAAATCAAAGGATAACTAAAATAATAACTTCAACACATAAATCCAAAACAGTTCCTACTTAAATTTACACATCGCAAATGTTCTTCAGAACATACAGTTCTTTCAAAGCTGTGCGGACAGCTACCAATGTCTCCATGGAGGGAGATTTACCAAATACTTTCAGAGCTAATCTGAACTTAAATTTGTAGATCTATGCTTAATCATAAGATCTGCTGCTCTCCGATATCTGATGGTTACACTTCGGTTCTGACGAGTAAAGGTCCGGAGAGAGAGTATCCACTGGTCTATATTCTCTGTCAGGATCGTTTCAGCACTTGTTACCGCCGTGTAAAGGGATGTCAGGAATTCTCCTCGTGCCTCCTTAATCGATTCTCTGATCTTAACTCCAGCCGGGGTTGACCAAATGTGTAGGGGTGCATCCCGTAAGTATCTCGGGTGAGGGGGAGAACTCCAGATCATCAGGGGCCAAGTGTTGAGGGTCTGGTGCGAGAATAGAGGAGATGGTTTCTTCGGTGGAAGTGCTCGTCGAGGGATAGTAACTTCAATCTTCTGATACGTGGTCTTCTTTGTGGGAGGTTGTCGTGGGATAGTCACTCTGATGTTGGGATTATAAGAAGAAGGGGAAACCAAGATATCGACCGGACGGCTGATCCACCAAAGTAGTGTGTTCTTCCTCTTGGCGCTGGACAACTCCGTCTGAGTCTTTGATGAGGGTTCTTTTATCTTTCCGTCGAAATACAGGGCTTCAACTGCTGATTTTGGTAGCGAGCCTGTTCTTTATCTCCAAAGGGATGGACTCGTCGAATAAAGCCAAAGGTATTAGGTCTTCCGTTAGATACCAGGCATGTCTGTTTAGGTCGTGGGAGTCCCATTTCTTTTTCAGCGACTTGAACAGGGTCACATCAGGAGCTTTGGTGTCCCGAATGATGAATAGCTGGAAACAAGCTCCATGATGTGGTGACGGCAGGCTAGCCAAATTGTTGACGGAAAAGAGAGGGAGAGAAGTTGTTGGAGAAGGACGCAGCTACCGTTGCGTATTCTTGTGTTGGAAGATGAAGTATCAAAACCACAAGCGATGATCTTATCTGGTACTTCCCACTCGTCCAGATCTTCTTTCACCGTCTCTGCTTCCACTTTCCCAGTGGTTTACCGTTACATACAATTCTTTAATCTGAACATAATAATTTTAAAATAACTACTCAGAATGTCAATTTCGGAGTATACTTAAACTTTGATTCTGAAAGAAAGTTGTACTAAATTTATGGGGGGTTAAAAAGACTGACTCACAAATGAAAATGCAACAATGGAAATAAAAACTGATCTTAAAATGCGTTTGATAAGCTAAATTTACTGATAAGGTCGATTGTAAAGTTGTAAAAGCTGATAAGAATTTAGTAAGTATTTTCTCAATTAGTGATAAGTGTTATGAATCCACCTGATTTTAACACCATGCGATTTGCTATACTTAAACAAGATCCCTAGTAAGATGGCGACTGCATGTTATATTACATAATATTACGACAGAATTCCTTTGTTAAATTCTGGATCCCGGAATATGGATAGAATCCGTCGATTTAAATTGGACAAGATATTATAGGGAGATGGGAGGTTTAAATATGAAATGAGAGGTGTTATTCGCTCTCTAACCCTCCTCTCCCCCTCAGACAAGTATCCAGTCAGTATGCACGAAGTGGGAGAGACTAGTTTCCCTATACATAGAGCACACTGCTCAGTACTGCTCGGTCAGCGTCACTGAACAGCTCATATCTCTTATCCTGGATACGTATCTCGATCATATCTTACTCTTCCCTCTCATCTACTGCTCAAAGGTCAGCTTTCTCATATTTTTAACTGATTACCACCAGTTAATACGTTGCAATTTAAAATTTCATTTCCCAGAAAACGTCTTGTATGTAGAGACACTCTTTTATATTTGATACTCCCCGTAATACCTGTGTAATGTGTTTACGTTCAGGTGTTAGTTGAAGAAAGCCCAGTGCCTCAAATGGCACTTCTACAATCCAATTCCTCGCCGGTATTTAAACTAGTTACAAATGTACTGAACCTCGTGTACAATGACACTATTAATAGCGGTAAGTTTGCCATTATACCTCTTAACACTGTTACATAATCAGTAGATCGTTCTGTCACCATGTGGAGCAATGTGTACAATTTCTTTTAATTTAACTATTCGACCTCCTTCTATTCAACCTCATCTTATCTTACTGAATACTGATAACTTTTCTCCCCAGAAGTGTCCCCACCTACCCTGACACTGTGTATAGAGCTGTGCACCGCCTCCTGGAACCTACTAACTCCTGGTAGAACAATCCCGACACTGCTTGAGATGAGAGATAGTTACATTGGACTGATATCTCAAGATAAACAGTATGCTGGTTCCGTACAGAACACCATACAAACTTCTTATACAACTCTGCTTAGCAGGTAAGAGGGTGTTTTCTGAGGGAAGTTCTATTTGAATATTTTAGTATTGAATCAACTTATATCCAAGTAACTGGGTATCTTCTGTAGATTTAAGTGTAGGACAAATTGTAAACTTACATTTGATTTACTCTCAATAAAAACATTATATTTCAGTGTTCAGAAGCACTTAACATTTTACAACGCTCCTGAATTAGACTGCCTGGAAGATTACCTTATATATGGGCTGAAGCACAGTAAACGATTAATACGTGTTACAACTGCTAAATTTTGGAACAGCAGCTTCGGAATCAAACATACTGGTTGTTACTCCGAAAAACTGAGGTTTTTAGAAACATTGAGATTTTAATTTAACTTTTCAATATAAATACATTTTACATCATGAGATCTTGGTCCAATTGTGACTTTTCTCTTGTTTCTAAAATATAATATATTTTTAAAATTTATACTCACGCATGATATTTCCAGAGCTGTTATACAGCAAGAAGCGAAACGAAGTGCGCTGATAGTACCGAACACCGCTAACATGTCTGTTATGGATCAGAGCCAAAGCACTGAAATGTTAGATTTCGCAGCTAAGTCAGCAGAGTTGCCTGTAAAAGGTAGCTTCTTGAATCTTTATGTTAAACCGACTACAAGGAATGTGGAAATTGCTGCCAAGTCCTCAAAGAAGCCGGTCACAAAAGCACGTGTAGCTTCTGCTCCAAGGGTAAGAAAACAAAAATCATGTGTTTGTGTTCAGAGAGTGCCCTTAAAATTTCTTGGCTCGATTTCATTCTCTTTTGCGTAGCGCGCTGAAACAAATTAAAGATGTAAGGAAACTTTCGCGCTAAATTTTCTCTTCGGCCGGCGCGCGCGTCGCCTGTAAATTTGTTCATGCGGTAATGTCAAATGTACTGCTTTGATAGAATGGTAATATGTCATCAAGCTAAGACATGTCTAGACTTGCCATCTGACCATCCTAAACACACACACACTATAGGTGTTTCGTCTACCATTGTTGATCCAGCTCGCTGTTGAGTGATAAACTATATTGGCCATGGATCATTCGCCTTTGTGTGAGAGGAATCAGGAATATATCCAATAGATAATATGAACAAAATGGTTCATTTAGCTGCTTTCAGATATAAATCACTGAGTTTTCCCTTTCAGACCCGATCTGTTCACAAACGAGAAGTTATTGAAGATTCGCAGGAGTGTATTTACATTTCCAGCTCTCCAAAAAAGCAGAAGATCTTCACCAAACATCAGAAAGAAAAGAAAATCGAGCAAAGGTTTGTGAAAAAAAGATTATAACTTTCATCTATCATGACACTATTTGTCTGCGCTTCAAACTAACTCTTGCATCAATAAACCGATCAATAATTTTAATATCACGTTATTTTTTCAGGTTGGATCGCAATGTTCCTGTCATGTACAACAGTTTAGACGTAAATTCTCAAGAACCGTTCATGTTCGACATAAACAGTCAATCCCAAGCTCTTCCGAGCGCACCGGTAACTCCAGAGAAAGTTGTTGAAGTGTCCCCACCTAAACCTGTCACTCCTGGGTTCAGCTTGAGAAAGATGCTTTTCCTGTCACCACAGCCCAGCGCTGGAACCTCGACGGAAGCTAACCAGTCAGTCGCTGCTAAAACTCTAGCTACACTTCCGTTATCGAGCCCTGATATCCTCACCTCGCAATCTGACCAGGAGAATGCTCCAAGTGTAAGTAGAATTACTAGTCAACTATAGATCTGCCATTAATGAGCCCATGAAGACCACTAAAATAGTATTTAAGTTCAATGTTCAAAACGCAAACCTTTTATCTGAGGTTGAATTGCAGAACCTGAAATAGCAAAGAATATAATTTTTAAAATGTTCATACCCTGAATATTTCAGGACTCCGATGAAGATTTGTACTGTGATCCCCCTGAAGAACCAGACTCTGCTCCAATCGAGCCCTCTGAACTTGCCATCACCCCACCACCTTCTGAAGGGGTAATGCCGGATAGTGGCATCGAACTGCAAGCTTCTCAACTCCCCGTAGAACTACCCGGAAACGAGTCATTCTCACCAGAAGACTCTAACAAAAAAGGCGGCATGATATCTAATGTTTTAAAGTCGATGATTAGTTACGTGGTGCCGAAGATGGTGAAACCAAACACTCTGACAATTGTTTCTAACAGTGATACTGACAAGTCTGATGATACTGGATCACAAAGCTCCACACCCTGTGATACTAATACCACATCAGACACTACTCCTCTTCATTCAGACATTACTCCTCTTCATTCCAAATCATCCTCTGAAATCAGTGCTGACATTTCAGAAACTTATGTCAAAACCACGCCTCTGGTCCCACCAGAGTCGCTTATTGAGACTGTTTCAGAGACTCCAGCTGAGAGTCCAATTGCTCCTCTTGTATTTGTTGAGGACTCTCAAAATGTTATGTCTGAGAAAACGACAGCAACTGGAGAAACTATCATACCCGACTCGGTCTCACCAGATAGCCTAGAAACTGTTGAAATAAACCAGACAGCTCCTGATATCCAACAATTCTCGAATGATATTTCGTTCACTGACTGTTCAACTGCTAGAGAATCAGCTAACAAACAAACCAAAGCTAAAAAAGCAGAACCTGATAGACGGTCAACAAGACGTCTCACCAAGAGAACAAAGTCTGAGGATCTCGGAATCAAGGATTCTCCCTCGAAGTTCAAGCGTGTGAAATCAAGTGATGACATGATTAATGCCTTAACTGATCCCTCGAAACTTATGACCCCCATAAAGGAATCGGAAGAATTTGCTATGTTGCGGAAGAGTGTGCGACCAAGAAAGTCTTCTGCAAAACTAAGAGATGAATCCTTTATCAATACCGACTATCCTGCTTCGATTCTCAATACCAATTCCAAAGATGAAATTGACGAAGAAGCGGTGGTCAAGAAGAATGTCCAATCATCTCAAAATTCTAAAATAGCAGCAAAAACACCAATTCTTGAAGTAGGCAAAAAGAAGCGTGGACGACCTCGAAAAAATACGCCGGGTGTCGCTCCTCTTGAATCTCCGCGGAAAAAGGTGACCAACACCGTTAAAGATCTCAGTTCTGCGAATGAAAGTAAAGCTTTCATAACTATTCCTGACTCACAATCGGAACATAACAGTACAGAGAGCTCAGAAAACTCAGTCGTGTTTGTCGGTGAAGTAAGTTTTGATGCTAAACAAACATCTGATAACACAATCAGGAGACAGGATACTATTATGATCCCCGATACGCCTGTCATTGAAACTGCTCCGTTACTTACTGACGCTCTAAACCAACTTAATGAAGTTCAAAAGTCCGCAGTGGAGGATTTAAAAGAATTGACATCAAATATTTTGGTGCTGGAGAGCATCAGATCAGATTATCAGATAAGTCAGGACAGCTCCAGTGATACTACAGTGAAAAATATTTCTAATAGTCAAACTAGTTTGCCAGAAGCGCAAACTAGTGTTCCAGATAGCCAAACTAGCATTCCAGATAGTCAAACTAGTGTTCCAGATAGCCAAACTAACATTCCAGATAGCCAAACTAGTATTCCAGATATTCAAACTAGCATTCCAGATAGCCAAACTAGCATTCCAGATAGCCAAACTAGTATTCCAGATAGCCAAACAAGCATTCCAGATAGCCAAACTAGTATTCCAGATAGCCAAATTAATATGCCAGATAGTCAACCGGCATCAGCAGAAGCAGAGCCTCAACGACCAACACCCACCTCATCTCAGCCCAAAAAGAAAAGGGGCAGACCCTTCAAAAAAACGCCGACTCTTTCACCGATAAATTCGAGAAAGAGCTTACGTCTTACTGCCACGCCCTCCGAAACAAAGAACCTCATAACTTCTTATATGTCCAAAAGTCCGAAACCATATAAGAAAGACAAATTCAAGGATTCGGACGATACATTCCTTCCTGAAGCGAGTCTGGAACAGTCTAAACTTTCAGATAGCAAAGTGCAAAGTGAATCTTCTACTGCTGAAAATGATGATAGCGTAGAATCTAAATATTCCGTTAATCAAGTAGCAGGAAAAGAGGTTTCACAAAATGCGCCTCACAGCGCACAGAATGATTCGGAGTCGTTAACACAATCGCTCGCCCCCAACTTTCAGCTTACAGAGGAAGATGATTCTCCTAGTTTACAACTGCTCCCACTTCCTACTCCTTCCCAGGAGATATCTCCTCAAGAAACTGAATCTGTTCCCTCTGACTCATCTTCACAAAGAAGATCCAGAAAACAGTCTAAACCTAAAAACTGGGCTGCTCCTAGACGCAAAAGTTCGCGGTTAACAACAAAATCTCGAACAGCAGAAAACATGGGTAAGGAGAAAGAAGATTCTTTTACAGAGTCATTGTCACAGGACAGTGAAATTATCGAGCTTCGCTCCCAAGTTCTTGTTCCTGATTCATTGCAACCGCCAGCACAAGAATCTAAGGAAAATAGCGGGGAAAGTCCTATCAATAAACAGTCAAAGGAGAAATTTAAAAAGGACTCCGAAACGAAGACTTCTGTTGGGGATGCTGAAGGTAAAAAAGAAACTTTGTCTCAGATCCTTTCTCTGGACATATCATCCTCTGACAAGAACAATCTCTTGTCTCCTGATAGCAAAATCCAGGAATTAAGCACACCTCAGAAACATGCTAGCCTACAATCTCCAGGGTACAATGAATCGCCTACATCTGTTGGATCGGTAGAGACCTTTGGTAAACCAGTGGCAAAGTTAGAGTTCAGTACGATACATCAGACCCCTGATCCTGGTCTCGATACCCAAGAAGACCTAACTGGTAGTGTACTAGTGAGGGATACTTTACAGGATCCAGTCGGAGATACTCTAGACGACCTAGTAGAGGCTACTTTAATGGAACCAGTGGAAGATACTTTACCTGATCCAATCGAGGCACTAGTTGCAGACACTGACTCGCCTGACCATAACACCCTACTCGAGGATGATGATATCCCTGCAGACGTATTAAAGCTAGCTTCTCCTTACAAAGAGCTTGAGGAGTTTCCGGAGACAGACACATCTGTAATCTTTTGTGCCAACTCTCAGATCCCCTCCTCGCAGGAAGATTCTTCAAACGAAACTGACCATGTTGTTATACAAGACTCTCAGACCGCTGAGGAAAATGCCGCTAAGTTGGAGATAAGTCGTACTTCTCGATCTCTAAAGAGGAAACCAAGTATTCCGAGCAACCTACCTGATGAAATACAGGACCTGGTCGCTGTACAGATGTCTGTTGCTCAAAACTTGGAGGTCGAGGTGAAAACTCCGCCAAAAAGTCTCCAACTGGGGGCTGTCGGAGAGCCCATCACTCCAACTACTCCTAAAACTCCAAGCAGTATTCTGAAAAGGAAACTAGAGCCTGGTTCAGGATCACCATCCTTGTCTAAACGTCATGTTACCTTCGGCCCTTTGCCCGGTTAGTTTATGTTGTGACGTTCATTTAGAGTTATCATATTGAATCTTGAAATGACGTAAATCAATGTTTTGCCCGATAAATCTTGACTAAACTACTTGTTTCCTTGTTTCCTTTATTCATCTCATCAACAACAATGATCCTCAGAGCCCCACAGAGATCCCAACGAGGTTACCCCACGACGACACAGCAAGTTTAGGAAGTCTCCAGCTCCTCCCCAACCTAAAATCAGAACACCAGAACCCGGTAGCAGTGAAGGTTGGTATTAGAGTTCCGCTTACTTTCCCAGTCTTATTTTGATGCGGTTGGGTTGTTTTTGCAGCCACATTTTAAATCACTATTGTAAAGCGATTTCCAAATCTTTGGTCCTAATTTTATCTAATTCAGGTGCGGTATTCCCAAGTCTAGCTCACAGCACAGTTCGAGCTCACGACATCATCAGAACACTATGTACCGGGTTCACTCTGTCCCAGAGAAACTACAATCTCTCTATCGTGTCCTCTACTATAAAGACTATCGGAGATCTGGCCAGACTTACTCCATCTCAGGTAACTATGAAACTTGGTGCTATTCATAAACTTTTATTTTAGTATACTTAACATACCATCGATATAGATCAACAAAATCTGTTTTAATGAACTTTATTTAACACTAACTATTTTCAGATTGAGGAATACCCCTTTATCACTCCGAAGTTGATTCAAGTTCGACGAAACCTGAAGAAGTTTGAAGCCAGCCAATCACCCATGTTACTGTTCTCAGTCAAGTCATTCCTCTCGGAAACTAAAGCACGTGAGATGAGCCAGAAATCTGAATCTGAACGTTTGGAACCAGTTTCAGAAGTTGAAGATGTTGGAAGCAAGTTACCAGCAAAGATTGATAATGACAGTGAGACCCGCCATTATGAGGCTGAAGAGGGTAAAGAGAATATGACTGATGAACTCAAAGGTAATGAGACAGAAGAGCCAATGGCAACGGAATTGGAAGATGACGATAAGGAAAACAGAGATCCCAACGACAAACACGCCCCAGATGATTCAAAAACTGAACCCACGGAGCAAACTAAAACAGTCGAGATAATAGAGATCACCTCAAGTCAGAGCACTGAAGAAACTGATGTCACTGATTCTGAAACCACAGAGGTTTCAGGTCGAGATTCTGTGCAACCAGCAACAATGTTCAATAGCAACTCGGTGCTTCCTACGACTGATGCACTAAGTGAGGCAACAGTTATTCAAAACTCTCTATCAGCAGTTGTGTCCTCTAGAGAGCAGGATGTGATAACTGTAGGACGCTCTGAAACTAACTCTACATCTACAGAAGATACTGAGGCTTTAGAACCTGTCGTCGTATCGAGTGATAATTCTGACTCTACATCGGAAGAGTGTAAGATAGCTGGTTCTGAAGTCAGTAGGAATGATTCAGAATCCAATCCAGAAATAGAAATTGTTGATAAGAGAACTAGCCAAGTGAACAAGACAGCAGCGGTAAGGGATGCTACATCATCTACGGAACAAACCTCAGAGTCTTTGGAAAGCGATGAGTCTCACCCGACTGCATCAGTTATCTGTGAAGATTCACCCGAGAACAGTCTGGGCCTGACTTGCGACGAGGAGCTCTCATTATCATGTGAGATGAAGAAAAACAACAGTCATGGTAGTCCCTCTGTAATCGCAGAGACAACTTCCGAGTCATCACAGTCGATCAGCCAAGACATCTCAAAAACAATCAGTGAATTTACGAGAGAAGCTGAGTTTGAGATTCAAGGAAAAATAGTTGAGTCGCAAGAGGAGGGTATGGACTTTGAGGATGATTTTAAACTTAGCTCGACTGACAGTGATACCGCAGACGGTTTTGCTGATCAGAAACCTAAATCTGAGAACTCCTCCATCTGTAGTCTTATTCGGGATATGCCCGGTCTAAGTTCACCAGTCAGTAGAGATGAAGTCACTTCTACCGATGATATCACACATGAAACGGAAACCAGAGCTTCAGACCGTGACGTCACTGTTTCTGATGACGTCACGATATATGGTGACGTCACTAATCCTCTGGTGGATTATCCGCTGACGCAACCTAGACCCCTAGTAGATTATCCTCTCACTCAAGATGTAAATACATTTTCTTTCGAGGATGAGATCCAACGAATCGAGGATAAGCTTAGTACAATATCAGACCCTGAAAGGAGACATAACGAACGGTACAAAATAATCGAGCGTTTGTGTCGCGGTGGAAGAGAGAACTCTTGAGAGGCACGTAACATGAACATAGCCTGTTTGTGACACTTCCGTGCCCTACTTGATCGAGGATTCGTGATGTAACATGAAACGTGTTAATCTTTGGAAACGTCATGATGAATTGATAGGTGAGCAGTGAATGAAATGCGGGGACTGATACATAAATACGCAATAATATTTAGTTGCGCATTCAAAATCACATATTTTAATAATGAATGTTTTTATTTTAAATTATTCGATTGTTAACTTTTAGATATCGTTTGGTAAGGGGTACGTTTTTATTCAACAAGTAGTGGCTGTTATTTTGACTTTTCGTTTCTTAGTAATTTATCTGTTTTTACAGTCAAAACTGATTCGAAATCTCAAGGTTTCAGTTCATTTTTTATTTTTAACGCCATCTTTCAACTTATTTATTATCATGAACCTCCAAATCTAATACCCTCTTTGATTAAGATAATTATACCCCATTATTTGGCTGATTTTACAGCTTTGATTTGTTATGATACAAATTAATGACACAAATTTGTGACAGTGACAATTTTTTTTAACAATTGATTAGCATCGGGCTTTGAAGCTAGAGTTTATAATGTATTTGTAGAAAATGCGTTTATATTTATAGAAACACATAAGAAATTATTAAAGTCACAAATTGTTAAACCTCGCTTCATTATTTCTCTCTCGACTAAAAGGAAATGTCTGTAAGAACAACCCCTGAAGATCTCGCCCATATATTTTCAATTTCTAAAGAACAGATGTTGACCGTGGAATACGGATATTTCCTTCTTCTAAAGTAGAAGCTAATAATAAAATTGATAAATTCTAAACTCGAGACCATGCAACATTATGTTTGACGTCAACCTAAGTGCTTTCCAGTAAAAGTTCATAATCTACTAATGTCTGGTTATTTATTCTTGGCTTTGTGAATTAACCTACCCTTCAGATATGTGATTTCAGTCGGATAAATATTGATAATATGGAGAGAAATAAGGAGAGATAAGAACTGAGATAAGATGATTAATTTGATTTGGCTGCCTGTACTTCTTATCCCAGGTAAAACTATACCCGTTTATGTTTGTCATATGGTCTGCGTAGTAATTTGTTGAAGCGACCGTTTTGAATGCACCGTGGTCTGGCATGGTGCTGAAAGTTTTGGTCGAGTGTGGCGACTGAACAGAATTAAGAAAATTAAGCTTGAATTATTTGTTTTCTCCGCCTTATTCTGTCATGTAGGAGTGCACTTGAGGTTACCTTTATTATGACTTTTTTTAGCAGGTGAATAGCCGTCTAAACGAAACTGTTTCTTCTCTCTTCCAGAATGATCTGTTGCATGTCTGCCTGACCAAGTTTACGTTTAGAGTAGTCGCTCTCTTTGTAGCTCTCGAGCCACATTAATAAAGCATTTATTGTGTTTCTCACTTCAATAGTCAATTATTTAATCCGCGCTAATCGACTAGCGGTGCTAATATAGACGTGAATTGTGAAAGCTATGGCAATAAAACAGCCTTGCTTTGTGCAGTTGAGATTTCATTCTAGTTTCATTACACAATGAGCCTGATGTAGGTAGAATATGAACGGGGTTTGGAAACGACGGAAGGTTGCAGGTACTTGGTTTTGAGCAAATATTCAGGCTAAACGTAAGGTTGAGCCATGAAGTCAATGCAGTGAGCACCAATTATAAAATAATCAGATAACTGATTTGATAGTTACCGTCACTAGGGCTTTGAGGTAGTCTATCAGTCATTACCTACATTTAATGCTCTAATTAACCTCACAAAACGTGCAGAGGTTTCCTGACACTGCCCAGTTCCTGCAAACATGAATCACGAGGTTCCGTTTGGTGGAAATGCTCGCCTAGATTAGTGCGAGGTAGTGCCAGTGGTGCAGGGTGCAGGATAGTGTGCTGTTTAACTATTGCACAGTGCACAGTGTGTGTACTGCTGTAACTACAGAGTAATTACTCACTACCTGGAGCTAGTAATAACGCGGAGCACTGCACTCTCTCCTCTTTAGTTAATAGCAACTTGTCAACCTGTAGCTAATAGTAAAACTTCTCTTTTACTACTTGTAGTTTTAGCACAATCCCTCCTCTCTCCTCCTCCTGTTCCTCCTTCTCACTCTCCTCCTCCCTTCTCCATCTCTCCTCTTCCTCTCTGCTCGGAGATGGAGGTGTTAATATGGGTGTTATCGTGTTATTATTAACATGCGCTCTCCTTGTGTGAAATTGTTAGCTATCTGTCCTGCTGGTAGAGTTTATATTGGTTCCTCTTTTTGTGCTAATTTTCTCCTATTCGTTACTCCGGGTTAGTCAGCTGTATAGTTATAGTTTATACATCTCTCTCTACTAATATGACATTGTATAGAATAGGTTAGTTTGATTGTTTAATACTTATCTCCCACAAACTAACCAAATCCTGCATAATCTGTATTATTCGCTTTGTAAAAGTTACATGCATTGTGAAACACGGCTATATACTGTAGTAGTTGTACACTGTACAGTAGCCATGGTTGATCGATAGTACTGGAGAGTTATCGAGAACTTTCTGAATTCTGCCAGGTCTTACTACATGAATATGCAACTTTGTTAATCAGAATACACCATGCTTAGTTAGAAGCATCGTCTATTTATAGTGATATAAATACGGAGTCCGTAAAGAAGTTTCACTGCCATAATTCAGTGTCGGTCGTTTCAGTTTTTAATAAATTGTATCGATCGGTTAAACTTAACTGTCAACATATAGTATAGCTATTGCATTGTATTGGTTATTGGTTATTATCTCATAATCTAATATAGTTTATAGTTGAACTGCACTTCTTAGTCGAATAAGATATATTTAGATTTAAGATCAGCAGAATCGGGATGAAAAGTGCTTGATTTAACATTTGTTAGCCTGAAATTACCCGAAATTGCAGAGCCAACCGCAATTAGAAACCTTCAGCAGCTGAAGCACCCAGTAAATCTCCTATTTTCGGTTTTCTTTCATTCATGACAGTCTCTTTCTAGTGCTACTAAAGAACCAGTTTAGAACCAGCCGCCAGGCACAGGATATATCATCCTCAACTTGCCCAGCCTACCTATCTCTAATTCAGTTACTTTACTAACCAAGCCTAGTAACTCTAAGCAAGCTACTTAATCTCTAGTTTCTACTAAACATTCAGTTCCATCCACCCAGGTTTAAGTTTCGTGCAGGTTCGTCCCTCTGATTGGTTAAACCATTACCAAGATAACGTCCCCGCAGTACTGTCTTATACAGTTACAAGACCAGTTCTAACTAATGAGCCTAGTTAATGGGTTCAGGTTTAATGGCTCTAGTTGGACTGTATAACAGTGCTCCCGGATGTGTGCTCCAAGCAGGGTCCCTGTAACCAGGCATTAGTAACGTTAGAGAGCACGCCCCACCCTCGTCTCACATCTGGCTGCAGGGGTTACGTGGCTCTTTGTAGGGTTTGTTCCAGGACTAGAAGAGACAAGGTGTTCTCGCACAGTCAGCTCTTAGAGGGTAGATCCACCTTGGGTTCTTTGAGAGGATGCTTAGCTTTGATCTCCACTAAACATCGGTTTGTTGACGACTTAGTACTTGATTTTATTGTGATCGTAGTCAAGATGTCCCTTTGTATCAGGCTAACCCGGATTGTTCGGTACCATTTCTGCCTCCTTCTTTTTGAATAATTCACTGAGTGAGCTGCCCCTCTCGTCTACAAAGCAAACGTTTAACGTCCAGGTTATGGTAATGTGGCTCTAACCAGGCTAGCCCGAGCTAAGTAGCGTCAACAGCAGTTAAATTAACACAGTGTAGTGGTTACACTTCACACTGCCGCCCCACCTCAGTTCCTGTGCCCGCTAGTCCCTCATTGGCTGCCCCGCCACCCCACTATTGGCTGCCCCACCACCCCACTATTGGTTCCTGTCCGGCTGAACTGTGCTATTGTTTTACTATCTGGTCTATCTATGGGACACTATTATTTGTGCTAGACCTGTCTTTGTTCCTACTGGTAACGCTGTGCAGTCAGCACTGTCCCAATTACCACGTGGTGTTCACAGTTCTGATGTAATGTATTTAGTAGGGTAGTTTGTGTGGTACTAACTGTGAAGTGCACTTGTTGTTTCCCCGAGTGTGGTGTTTGGAATCAGCGTACCAACTTGTATTCGATGTAGGTGTCTGTTTTGTTATTTGTGATCGTGATCTCTTTTAATGACAACAATGGTGTTATTAATCACGGGACATGATATGCTGTGTGAACGTGTGCCACTCTCAATTGCACTTTTATATTTATATTTGTTCGTTATGACCGGAGGACTGATAAGAGCGAATTGTATCCCTACAAAAGCGCTGTCGTCATTCATATTTCTCAACTTTTCTTACTGTTAACCTTTTTCATGGTTGAGAGAATTTTTGATAACTTACCAGAAATAGCGTGGCCCTGAGATTTTCCCTGGTGATGTGGAGCCCGGATGTTCAGAATAATATTTTGGGGCCCTGTGATAGGTTATTCAGTGCGTTGGTTTTATGTTTCGTGTGCACCAGATTTATTATTTTCCTTAGAAGAGTTTTCCGGTGTCGGACAAATTAGCCTTGTGGATTAATTTTAGTACAATAGCCAGGCTAGGTAGAGTATGTAACTATACGACCATACGAATTACGTTTATATGTTATGTCATGTTCCGATAGAGGAACTGTTGAAAGGATGACTCCCGAATTGATAGATGGAGACACCCAGATCCAGGCAAACCATCCCTCAACGACCGGCCATGTCGCATAATCAATCATAACTAATTAGTAATTACATAACTAATTACAATATAACCACCTTGGAGGTAACAATTATAGAGCTGAGCTACGTCAGCGGCTGCTGTCTAGGTCGGACAGAGGCTGTCCTGATTTCCTGGATTTGAGGCCGATTATGCCGTGCAAATGCTAGATTTAGTGCTAGGAGCGTTGCGTTAGTGTCAATACTGAGGTGTGTGTTATTTTAGTACTTGTTTGCCTGGCCGGTCCTGAGATTACTCCACCTTTTAGTAGCAGATCGTATCAGAGACTGGAAGTTCTTGGACTATTTGCAAGTTGTTGTCCGAGTGTTACTCCCTGCCGTCAGTACCTCGTCATTATTCCTCTCTATTTCTGTAAGTGTGGTAGGGTTCCTGGTGCCAACACCATGTCAGGGATCATAGGTCTCCAGATTTAGAGATCTCTTTCACAGAGTCTCCTAGTTCCCGAAATATCTGCAGGTTGTTACTCGACTGTTACCTCCTATCTTCGATATTTGGTCATTGATCCTCTCTATTACCAGATATTTGGCAAGTTTCTATAATCAATCATTGACCTCTTCATCATTTTACTTGTTGGTTGGACAGCCAATTACAGGTCTTGAGACACCTACTCATGACCCCCCCCCCCCCCCCCCCCCCATCGACATTCGGTCATTGTTCACCTCAATTTCCGCAAGTTTACGGAAGTTTATCATTGACCCCCTGATACGGATAATTCTATTTACACCCTTAGCTAACTATATTTTGCCACGATTACCACGACCCACATATTGTTACCACGTTGCATCACGTTCCAATCTCAGTCTTTTACACTCATTACTTCTGGAATAGTTCCTCAGGTTCCATGTTGAAACTTCCAACATCGCATGTATCACAGTTCTCAGTCACGT